CAATATTAAAAATTCACATGGGCGCGAACACGTTTTCGTCCTGAACAGTAAGGAATGGACATTTTTGTGCAAGTGGGTAGGTACTGTAGTCTAGGCTTTATTCTATGAGTAGAACTACTGACTGAGTGAATATAGTTTTGTATTTAGAATGTGTTTAAAAAAAGAACATCTTGGCAGATCTAGAAGTAGCCTCAAGAAGTAAATATGTGACAAATACAATAAACATCTAATTTTGAAGTTAATCCCAGTTTATATTTACAAAGTACCTCTCGCTACGCAACCTGAGCTATCCCCTAGGCTACAAATGGTGGAGGCAAGCCTACAAAATGGAAAAATTCCAGTGAAGAAAACTCCGATGTGAAAAAATTTTATATGTTTTTACGGAAAACTCCAGGAAAGCGTACATAAGGTCCTAATCTTAGAATAATAACGCATAGAAACCTAGCCCGCACACGCTAAGTGAGGCAAATTGAAGCGCTCCCAAAGGGCCTACACGAGCGGGCGGGCCTTCAGTGCTCAAGGTCAACTTGCACCGCGAACAGCTCCAGATTTTTATCTAAAAATGACGAAATGTGCGGTAAATGAGTGTAAAAATACGTCAGACAAAACGTAAAATAGATACTAACATCACATTCCACAAGGAAGTAACGCGTTTCAACTTGTATTTATATAAATATTCACTAAAACCGAAAATTAACCTACTACTAAAACTAGCCTACATGAATTTGATTTTTGCCTCACTTGTGACAGTTCGTTTTGATATGAAACTATCATTCTATGCGTTATTATTCTAAGGTCGTAATATATCTTTTTTCTTTTTATTAGGAAATTATTATTGTGTTTTTGTGCGCATCGTACTGAATAGGGGCAAAGTAAAAAAAGCTATACAATGAATCATACACCGGCACAGAAATTTTCGGGCCTAAATGATGTGGAGGAGTTTCTGGGCCAGTTTGAGGCAATTAGCGTGATAAATAACTGGTCGGATGGGCAAAAAAGAATTGAGATGTATCTGGAAGGGCCAGCCTTGCAGTGGTATAAAACCCATTTTTCTTCATATGCCACCTATGATATCATTGCGCAAAAGTTAAAGCTAAGCAAAAGTTAAGCAATTCCCCTCACAGGTCCATTATGCTCAAGAGTTTTACTACAGGCAGATGCCTAATGAGCCGCTCGTAAACTAATTTTATAATCTGGATAGTTTGGCGACAAAAGCAAAGATACAGGACGATGTGAAATTTATAAAACATTTCCTAAAATCTGTAGCTCCTAACTATCAGTGGGTGCTTGCTAGCAAGTTGTTCGCGTCTAAAGACGAGTTGAGAAAAACGATTACCTATACAGATGGAAGATGTATTTAATCGACAATCAAACTTAGAACAACAGAGTATCGAATTACCGGTGTGTATTTCAAAGGAATATTCTCAGTCTTGGCAAGCACAGGGAGATTCCTCACCCGTTGGTGGATCCATCACTGCTTATTCAGATTATCAAACGCCACAAACTCCGGTCACGGCCGTCGTTCCATTTGACGTGCAGCGAAATACGCCACGCGGAAGGTACCACAGGCATGTACATTCGCATACACAAGGAAGTCGTTCTACGACGGGTTATTCCCAACGTCGATTTTATCAAGGCGCAGCTGCTCATTCAAGAGGCGATCACCCAAACGCACCGCCACGCCGATAGATAGCCGGGATGGTCGGACCGGAATCCGAAACCCGCGTGCTTGGAACAAAAATTGTGTGTAGTTGATAAGTGTAATGTAGATAGGGCACTCTTTATAACCATTTGTATAAATAATATAGATTGCGAGGCCTTGGTGGATACTGGTGCTTCTGTTTCAATAATCTCACAATTGTTTGCAGATAAATTGCATTTGCAGATTGAAAAAACGCCGAATTTTCCTTTGCGTACAGTTGGTGAAACGCGGATAATTGTGCAAGCGTCCACCAATGTTTCGTTGGTAATACAGGGAATCAAATATCTATCAAAGCTGCATGTTGCAGATGATGGTGATGAGCTCCTTATTTTGGGACAGGACTTCCCGACGTTAAATAGTGCGGTAATTGATTTTGCGGCCTCGAAGATAACCTTAAAAAATGGTGTTGAAATTGTTTTCAATTCTGTCTCTGATGTCATGTGAAGAAAAAAGAATTGTTGTTCTATCGAGCCAGTTTCAAGAAGTCATAAAAACTTTTCATTAAACAAGTCCGAATATTTATATTTCGTTAATTTGTTACATGCGAATTGTGACCACATGTTTAATGTCTCGAGTTTAAAAAAAAAATAGAATTTAATATTGATAATTCATTACAGGAGAAAAGGCGCGATGAATTGAATCGGTTATTACTACGATTCCGTGATACGTTTTCTTTTGCGCCAGGCGAACTAGGGTGTTATATCTACATATATCACTCATTGGTTGATTTCAACACTTCTGATGAGGAACCGGTGCATAAAATGCCATATCATGTCTCCCCTAAACAGAGACAAATTATTGAGGAACAAGTAGAAGAAATGTTGAAGTATGGGATAATTCAGGAATCGAAAAGTCCATATGCTTCACTGGTAGTTTTGGTGGATAAACCAGAAGGGCCACCGAGATTTTGTATTGATTATAGGGCATTGAATAAAAAAATTAAAAACGTTTCATACCCTATTCCAAGAGTAGATGATTTGTTAACTTGTTTACAGGGTGCAAAGTATTTTGCTGATTTAGATATGAACCCTGGGTATTGGCAGTTAGGTTTAGGAAAAGGGAAGGAAAAAACTGCCTTTGTTACACATACCGGGCTATATGAGTTCAATGTGTTACCTTTTGGCTTGAAAACAAGTCAAGCGGTGTTTCAAAGAGCGATGGATAAGGTATTGGCGGGAATGAAGTATCGTAATGTGATAGTTTATGTGGATAATATATTGGATAATATATGTATGCAAGCACGTTTGAAGAATTTAAAAACGCATTAAAGGAAGTTTTCATTCGATTGCGAAATGCGCATTTGACTTTAAAACCATCCAAGTGTCGTTTCGGTTTTCAGAAGGTGACTCTGTGTTCTGGGACATAAAGTGTCGGTCGAGGGAATTGGACCGGATAGTAAGAAAGTTGCGGCGATGAAGAAGATAAATCCTCCATGTAGTCTGAAAGAAGTGAGAGCGGTTTTAGGATTGTTCTCTTCTTCATCGAAAATTTATTGATAATTTTGTTAGATTGGCACTTACCATCACGAATTTGACGAAAAAAAAGCAAGGTGTTTGTTTGGACGAATGAAGCGCAGGAGGCATTTGAAGTGTTGAAAGATCGAATTTGTAAAGGGCCTGTTTTGGGACATTACTCTTCAAGTAGTGAACAGGTGACGCGGTTGTATGTGGACAGCAGTGGATATGCAATTGGATGTTGTTTAGTGCAGAGAATGGGTGAGATGAAACCTATAGCATATGCCTCGAGAAAATTAAGTGAAGCACAAAAGAAATATCCTGTTACGGAGAAGGAATGTTTAGTACTTATATGGGCGTTGAATTATTTTAAAAGTTATTTATGGGGACTTCGTTTTCAGATAGTTACAGATCA